GGGGGGGGGGGGGGTTGGGGAGGCAATTAGTGTAGGAAGTGGTTAAATTCTGATTTTATTACTAATTTCTACCCGAGATGAGTGTTTTGACACTTCGAATGGGTTTGATCTATGAAAGTAACCAGAGGAGTAAATGTTTGCTTTCATTGTGTGTGAACTTAAGTTTTTAATACGAATCATGTTGGTCTAGGAAGTTCACAATGTTACTGTTAAAGGGTAGCGATTTACAAAGATTTTGCTTACTCTCTGTTTAAGCTGGTGCCTCTGCTCTGTTGAGTTTGAGACTATTTCGAAAGCTTGGGGATATGGGAATTGATGTGCGAAGGTCTGCTTCTATCTTGTATAGGTGATGGAGTTTTGTCACTCATTCGGGGTGATGGATCGTGTGGTTCGATTTTCCCACAGGACTTCAATATGTCCGGACTTGATTTGTCACTGGGCTTTGGAATTTTTAGTTTCGCTCTATTTAAGCTCAGTACCCTTGTAGCTTAAAAGAGATAAGTTGCTAACCCGTATAAAGTATACATTCTTTTATTCTCTTAAAGGTTTTACTCATTACAGTCATGGTGATATTTCTCAAACCTTATTGAGTAATCATTTTTTGATCCAATTCGTGATCTCTGGCGTTCCTCTGATTGGTGTTTTAAATGGTGATTATGAGAGATTCACGAGGTAGGCATTAGAATTCATGCTAAGAACCTATTTTCCATCTATAATATAGATTTATCCGCGAAATGGAACATAAATGCACTAATACCTCAACAAATTCCAAAGTGAATGAGGCCAAAATAGGGGATCTTAATGAAGAACTTGAAGAAGAAGAAGAGGAGGAAGGAGTGTGCTGACATCTTTTTCTCAAAGTGCCTTGACAGGTATGGCCCAAAGGTCGAGATACTAATGAAGAAGGACATTGGCAAATTGGCACTGCGAAGTAGGATGACAATGGAGAAACGACCAAATGATGAACCAAATTGTCAAGGCGAATTTCTACCCCAAAAAACTGGCGTGTTAGAGTGGGGTTAGAAGTGAATCGCAATCCATGGATGATTTTAAGCTGAAATCACTCGTAATTGATTTCAAAAATAAAGTGTTGAGATTTAGAAACAGACTCTATTAATTTGCAATAAATAATACCTTCTTTCTAAGAATTCACTTATTCGTGCTGCAGACAATTCGAAAAATCCCGCACACACACACGCACACACGCGGGCGCGAAGAAAGATTCACACAGTTTAGTAAATGGGCTCTAAACAAAGTGAATAGTGACATAAATAAGAGTGATACGAATGCAAATGCTGCAGATTGCCACATGAATACGCTATGACCCATCCTTAGTCATATCAATGATAAAGCCCAATATTGTGGAATAGCTCCCTAAATTATGTAAGTTGAATCAACTTTATTGAGCCCGTTCAAGTGGGCATGTAAATGCTTTGTTTCATCTTAGAACTTTTGTGCCCAGAACGGAAATACACGCTCCTAGCTCCGTAGTCGATACACCCTGAACTCGTTGAACTGAAGTACTATCAAGACAATGTATTTCAAGCCTTATGCAGTAAAAAGAGCGGTGATGGTGATTGTACTATGGAAGTGAATACAATTCCTGCCAATTTGCACCCCGAGGAAGAAATACTGCCATCTCAAGAGCCAAACACCTTTCAAATCCTAGAAATGCAATTAAAAAATGGACTTATGTATTAAAATACCACTTTACTCATATTGAGTGGATAAGTTATGATCATGGAAAAACTGAAGTAATTCGCTTTTTCAATACAGCTAACTAACCTAAATACTTTCTTTTCATTCATTTTAAATAGCAGGTTTCCTGATAGTTATCATTAGCTTTTTAACTAATCCGCAATCGATGGGGATTTCCCAATACCTTGTGGAAAAGCTCTACTAAAGCTGCACAAATCGGTTGGACGTTTAGAATTGAAATGTTAGTACATAAGTAGCTTTGCAAATGCCTTAGGAGATTTGCCGGCTTTATACAACCACATTTTTACTAAACTGATTTTGTTTGACTTTCCAATCAAGTTTATTTGAAATGGCCCACACATATTGCCAACTATTGCTTATCAATTGTGTGCAAGAGGAACGTTTTCGGTGCCTGAATGAAATTTGACTTGACGAACGTATGAGCATTCCATAAGATAGAAATCTAATTTCAAGACGGAATTTGATTTGGTTGAAGATACACTCCGTGTATGGAAATTGGGAAGGAGGAGAAGTCGGACTTACGTTTACAAGCACCCTTTTATTCTACCTCCACTCTTGGCCTCCCATCTTTTTCCTTCTTTCCACAAATTACTGGCGCTACAAATACGACTTACAAATTTCAATAGTATAATAATCGACCTGCCAGATAAAGATGCTGCTTAATACGCTAGCTTCGAATGCGTCAATACTTCTAAATCAAGCCAATTTGATTGATTCGTGGTAAAAGAGGACCCATACATGCTCTATATGAATAGTATTAAAAGAGATACGAACGGGATTTCGCTTACTCCACAGACACCGAGATCCTCATATTGATTCGCGTTGTTTCAAACTCGTCGTGGTAGAAAGGTATAATGAAAATAATCGGTAAGGAATGTGGATCTTTGAAAGATTCTTCCAAGACACACCATCATATTCAACTCTTTGATGCGTTTGAGTTGCAGAATGCTTGAGAAGAGCACCTAACTCTGGAATGACTGAGCACGAATTCATGAGATCTGGCTATCCCAAATACTCACAAATTCACTAGATCACTATCATGTTCAGGCAATAAATGGATGTTGAGAACTTACCTTAAACAACACGCACCTCATCGAGTGTTGTTCTTGCTGTTATTCAGAAAGTAAATGTGCCATTCCCACTACTTTTCAGCCACTTTTCTCATCAAAAGAACAAATTGGAGCTAAATTGTTGGCACTGATGTACCTGGGACTTATTATCTCAATAATTGCACAAATTGGAAGAGTGGTGATGAGTGGTCTTCAATTATGTGGTGAAAGTGGGCTTAGGAAATGTGAAAAGATGGGCAAACTGTACTATAAGCCCAATTAATAAGCGGTGGGGTCGAGGGACTCGCCTTTCTTCTTCTATATGTGCCAAACATGCCACCTCCTCGATGGAAGCCTAATTAGGTAACTGTAGCAAATGTCTATTGATTCCCTTATCCAATCCTCATTCGACATATCACTGCCTTGAGGAATCAGTAACATGCAGAATAAGGAGAGTGTGCTGTGGTTTCACTAGGTGTGACACAAATTCCAGGTACTTCCTCTGCACAGTATGATCAAATATAATAAACACCACTAAATCCACTGCGTGAGAATCGGTGACTGTAAAACCACTAAGATCCATGAAATCAATAATCTAATCATGTTCACTTTGAAAATGGAATCTATCAAAACTATTCATGTTCAATATTCGTACATAAATGGGGACACTTGTTGGTGTCGATGATGGAAGTGTTTGGGAGTCTATCGGATTGGGATCGTGATAGCATTACCTTCTCCTCAGCGGCGTGGCGACGGTTGGCGTGCAGTTTATCTATGCAAAGCTCCAACTCATTGACTGGTCGAAATAGTCGAAAGAGCTTGCAATTCAGTCATTCGATATTTCTTACGTAGTCTTGGAGACGTGTTTGCATTGCAGGATCATTAAGAATACCATTCCAGTCTTGAATAATCGAGCACGAATTCACGAGATCTGGCACCTCCAAATACTCGCGAATTCGCTAGATCACTGCCATGTTGATGCAACTGATGGATTTTGTGGACATACCTTAAACAACATGCACCTCATCGAGTGCTGTTCATGCTGCTATTCAAAAAGCAAATGTGCCTTTTCCACTACTTTTCAGCCACTTTTCACATCAAAAGAACAAATTGGAGCTAAATTATTGGCACTGATGTACCTGGGTCTCATTATCTCAATATTAAATGCAAATAAATCCTTGCCAAAATTTGATTTGGCAAGTGCTTTTTCGCAAGTCCAATTTATGCCAATTTATCATCACCACCCATCGTGGACAATGCATTCTACTACAGTAACTGATATTGGCCACCAACTAACGAATAACACGTTATCGGGCCCAGATGGTGCTAAACCAAACTCAAAATATGCAAGCGTTGCATTCCACTTCCCACAAGAACTCCGAGAGCGTTAAGAAGAACTTATTCAGCTTATGAGGTAAGACAAAATGCCATCAAAAGGTAATGTGCAATGCTTTGTCATGCTTCCTAGTGAGTGTATTTCTCTAGCAAAAATAATTACTCCACTTCATGTCCAGTAATGCAGGATTTCAATTATTGTTGTAAGGACAATTTGTTCCTGCCCTAAATTCGATATTTTTTGTATTGGTTGTTAGTCCAAATGAGGTATGGCAAATAGACACCACGTCATAATTTCCCACTCAACTGCAGTCTAGACACAGTAAGGAAAACTTGCGACGCATGAAGAGAGTGAATTGATTTACTGACACTCTCAATAACCTAGTCTCTAGAGGCGTTAAGACGTGGATTCTGTCATGTCTCACTTTCACCAAACATTCCCGTTCCCATACCAACCATTTATATCTTGCTACCTCTGACCGCCCCATAGGAACTGTCATAGGAATAATAGTTATAATTTTACTACCATCAACTGCTCATACATTTAGTACAACTAAAGTATGACTTGAAGATAAGACGATTTCAAGTCTTGAAACTGTTGGCCGTGGCATTAAGAACGCCACAAAAACTTGTTGCAGTTGTTTCGGATGACCTTGGAATAACCTTTAAACGTATTAATAAGTATTTGCTTCCTGAATCGTGTATCATTATTTGACTAAGTATGAATTGGATGCATTTCGTTGTTCTCTACTTTTATTTATTGCTTTCTTGTTTTTATTTAAGGCCCAAGCATCTACATGTACTAAAAAATGCATCGGGTGCCTCAACATGGCAGTGATCAGACGCGTTTGCGATTTTCGGAAGTGCCAGATCTCGTGAATGCTTGCTCGGTCGTACAGATTGCGATGATATTCTCAACTAAACTGCAATGAAATGGCTTCTTCAAGACCATATGGAGAATATCAAATGGTTCGACCGAAGCTGTTTTGACTATTTCGACCGGTGAATGAGTTAGATCTATGCGTCGATAAATTGCGCGTTCTCCGACTTCACGCTGCTGAGGAGAAGTCTATGCAGTCGCGTTCCATGTCTGATAGACACCCACTCAAACCGTGTGCCGTAAAGTTAATAATATTCTATAGTGACGAATTGGAAAGAGGCCATTTTCAATATCAACGTGTTCAAGTTCATGATTTGCTTCAGCTTAGTGGATTTACCGTTGTCCATTCTAACGATGTGGATCTAGTGATGGACGGTTTATTCGGTCCTAATGTACAGAGGGTCGACTTGGCATTGCGTCGCGTATAGTGACACCAGAACAAATTCTTCTCATTCTCCGTGTTACTGAGCCTCTCAGAGACGAAATATCGATTGGGGACTGGAGAAGGGAATCCAATGACAAATACCACAGATACCTTTTTAGTCTCCCATCAAGAAAGTGACGTATTTGGCAAATAGAGAAGATTGTAGAAGTGCTCCTCCATTACAGTCTTCCTATCAGTTTGGCCTGGTGTACAGTCCTCTTAACTTCTCACATTTCCTGGGCTCACCACGTACTTGGAGGCCATCCAACAACAACTATTTCATCACCCAAATCGTGAAACTCTTACCCACAACTCCGCCACCTCTTCTCCTTCTACCTGCAATTGTTCTACTTTCTTGTGCCCAAGATAACTTTATTCCTCATTTGCAATTAGTATTTTCTTTAAAATTTTAGTTTTTACTATTAAATTGCCTTTTTG